TTTTTTTTCAGCTCACTGTCGAGTTGTCAAAGATTTCTGACGCCGACGGCTCGTTGAGTGTGGAGAAAGTTGGAGGAAAGCCCTTGACTCAAGACATGCTCGGAACTGGCGTAAGTTTTTTGTTGCTGTTGTTGTTCTTTTTGATGATCCCGCATTCATATGTATATGTTGTGTCAAATTTCGGATTTTGTCCCCATGATGGCTGTTATGTGGGTGACGAATATCCGCTTTCTTGGCTTTATATTCTCGTTCTCAAAAACTTGAAAAGGAGGAAGGATCGCAGGTACGTTGGATTCATCATAGATGCCAACATATATTTTTGGTGGTGGTATTTATTTCCTTATCTGTATGTTTTATTTTATTAATGATTTGGCGATTCCCGTTCGATATGAGGTTATTTTTGGACAATTTTTGCTTGCATTTATATACGGGGTTCCTGCAGCACTGCTTGGTTCCCCGTGATTTTCTGGCTGATGGCTTCTTCCTATCTTTCTTTCTCTGTATGTTTGTTTTTCTCTGTCAAGTTTTTTTGTTGTCATATACGATGGAATAGATAAAAAAAAAAAAATTGTCGGTTGCTCCGTGTGTGAGTATTTCATGAAGTCATCGTTTGGGTAAACATGTCGAGAGGTGCCAAAGAAATTGTTTCCCCTGCTTTGAAGTTCGCGAACATTTTTTTTTCTTTTCAACTATTCTGGGAAGGATTAGAATGCTTCAACTACTGCATATACGAGGGTTCTAACAAAAGTTCTCGGAATGAAAATGAAAATGGCGTCTGATTGGGCTGAAAAAAAATTATTCTTTAGGACAAACATATTCTTCGGCACAAAAAAAAAATCAGCCCTGTTCGAAAATTTTTTGCACAATTCAACGCAAGCCGCCTTCACAGCCGCCACATTGGTTCAGAGCCGCCACATTAGCCCCAATGCGCGGCTGTCGATGAAAATGGCGGAATTGCCTTGGATGACCTGGAGGCAACCCTTAGAAAGAATGCCAAGTTGATTTCAAGAATTCTGAGGGGAAAGCTGGGCCACAAAAAATTTAAAAACTACAGGAAGGATGCCTCATCTGTTGAGTGTATAGCAAAACTCTGCCAGGGTGAATTTTGCAAAAAATTGAGAAAAATTGTCAAACAGGGCTGATTTTTTTGTGTGCCGAAGAATATGTTTGCCCTAAAGAATAATTTTTTTTCAGCTCAATCAGAAGTCATTTTCATTCCGAGAACTTTTGTTAGAACCCTCGTATATACCCTCTTGCTCAAATCAAAAATTGCAAAAATCAGCTTACATTACCTGAGGTTATTTTGGGGGTTCCATCACCCATGCAGCCGTCTTCAATCCTGGCCTTCTTATTATGGGTGACATGTTTGGAAATCGCGGGTTGAATTTTGTCAAAAACATCACGCTGAACTGACCTGACGCAGCCTCGCAATGCTGAATTAATTTCGGTTTCATTTTATTTCTCTCACTGCCATGTGAACTTCGATAAAAATAGAGCATCGCATCGAAGAACTGTACTTGCACCTTATCTGCCGTATATTTCACTCAAAAGATAACCCTCTATACTTTTCTGGGTGCACTTTAAAATAAATGTATATTGATGAACAATTTTAGTAATCGTTGTTCTGATCCTCATATATATACATAGGACGTGTACTTGCTGGAAACTGGATCGGCAGTCATCTACGTTTGGGTTGGACGTGGCAGCTCGAAAGCTGAGAAGCTTCTTGCCATGAATCTGGCTGTGAAGTACATTCAGGAGAAGGGATATCCCAAAAGCACCAAGGTATGCAATTGACGTTTTTCGAATTTCAGCAATGCTCATTTAGTTATTTATTTTAAGATCATGGAAAATAATGCCTTGCATGATAAGATTTTTCCGGAATTTACAGCAAAAGTCTCCCTGGAAATTCATAAAAATTTAAAATGTGAAGTCAATATCATTTGCTTTGCAATGTTTTATTTTAAAAGAGTACTTGATCAAGTCTCAATTGTCTTCTGCCATATAGCAATTTGAGTGTACAAAAATTTGAAGAATGATTAGCTGTACGAAATCCTGCAATACCCGGAGTGCTGAAAATATTTAAATTATGGGGATTTGTATCTTTATTTTGACTGGAACATTTTGATGAGCTTATTTGTATTTCTTTTACACATGAACTCAAAGTATGAAATGCTGCCGTGAAAGTCTTCCGGAAATACTGCTTGATTCGAAATTGCATGTCAAAATCAATGCGGAAGACAACGATTTAATTATTTATTCATTATTCGCAGGTCGAAAGGATTGTCGAGGGTGGAGAACCAGCGGTTTTCAAGCAATACTTCAAGACCTGGAGAGAGCCAGAAGACACGATTGGCCTTGGGAGGGTGTACAGCAAGCGCCAAATTACTGGTAATTTTTGCTCCCTTTTTCATTCTAAAAATTATGCGCATTAAAATAATACTTCACCCTTATTCATATGAACCGAGATTGGCATTTCCGCCCTTTGAAAAAGCATTGAAAACTATTCGAGTATCGGAAGGCCTTTTCCAGTATCCCTTTTTCAGAAATCTCTCGCCTTCTATATAAACTGATAATGTCATAATTTTATTCCAAGCTTAATTGTTGTACCAAAACTTCGCCAAACAAAAATTCATGAAACTGCGCAGGTATTTTCTGCGTTGTTAGCATCATTGAATCAGTTAGGGTAACCAACTTTGTCGTGGAAAGCAATGGTTCAAGCAATTGAAATTTCTTCAGAATGCTTCATAATTGTTTCTATAATGATTGTATTAGTTTGATACGATGATGCAACAAGAAATAAAAAAGGGCCAAAATATTCATCTTAATGGAGAAAGCTGCCATGAAATGCATGCACGGTTTAT